TATTATTAATACGTTATTTGTTTAATGTGTGATTTTGATGCGGGTATAAATAGGTTGGTTAAAAACAGCAAGTGATCACTCGATGCTTGCGTTCTTTCGCGAATTTTACGTTTAAATTGCCAATTTCATTACAAGAACAGTGCTCTCGTGTTATTTGTTACAATTCAATAAGTTCCATCATTATTTTTCCGTTCAAAAACTCGTTCAGTGGTAAAAACAAATGCCAAACATGAAGAAAGGATTTTTACTTGTGGTCGTTCTCCTCCTTGCTGTGAATTTTGTTGCGAAAAGTACTCGAGGTAAGCTTAATGAATTTGAATGTAAGCAAATTAAAACCGATGGGATTAAAAAACGGATTAAGTTTGGTTTTTTACTTTTTAATAATAAAAATTCAAATGGATTTGAAAAAAAAAATCTGAAAAGAATCAATTTTAAATTTGAAAAAAATCAAATCGAAATAGGTAAATCAATCATAAAATTGATGTGTGATTACGGCGTATATGTTGTGAGAAAAATATATGACATTAAATATTTTCATGAACTTTATTTATTTTGGTTGCACTATATTAGTTGAATCAGAAAAAAGAATTGAAATTTGTTTGAAATAAATACTTAATTGAAAGGGTGAGAATTAAAGTAAGCTCAAATCCCGATGAGAATAAAATGTCTTACGCACTGTGATCCACAACATGAATTTATCACATATATTCACTTTTTGAATTCACGTAAAAAATGAATCTGACCTTAGTTTTGCGATACACATAATTTTCGATGCACAATTTTTTTTTTTTAAAGTTGGATTTTTGTATGGAAGCCATGTCTGTATGATATCGTAATGAGCTGAAACTTTGCACAGGTTATTTTTTCACACAACTGTAACCGCATTGACGCTGAACATTTAGCACAACTTGTATAACCCATTACTAACACTTGTAACTAGGTTAATTCTGAATCTTCTCCTTTGTTCAAATTCTTCACAGGAAATGAAACTGAGGAACTTTTTGATGCTATCAGATTAGGTAAGTCAAAGACAATCATTACACATTCCATAATATTCTCAACGATTTTTTATCTTTCTCCGAGTTAATTTTCATAAAATTCAATTCCTTTGAAATATCATTACAGCTTAATGTTTGAATAGGATAAAGGAATATATCTTAAATTTAAATGCATTTTTTCTATCCTTTCCAGAGAATGTAGATGTAGTTACACGTCTAATTGAAAATAGTTCACTCGTAAATGATAGAAATTCGTATGAACTGCTTTCACTTGCGGTAGCTCAGAGTAATTTCAAATTGATAAATAAAAATAAAAATGGGGTTGCTTCATAAGAATTTTATAAATTTTGCAGATAAAACGGACATAGTCAAAGCTCTTGTCGATCATGGAGCGGATGTGGATTCTAGAGACAAAAATAATACCACACCACTTCATGTGGCATCTCTATATGGTAATTGTCTATTTATTTGAAATTTGAAAATATCAAGCGTGATTGCCAAAGTAGTTAGGCCAACTGTTTCTTTGCTTAAAATTTCAGGTAGACGCGAAATTATTGAGTTTTTAATCACTCGTGGTGCAAAGGTGAATGCCGAAGATAATGATAAATGGACGCCACTCCATAACGCCGCTCGATATCGTAATTATTGATTATATGGCCTATATATAGGTCTTGAAAATGAAAATAACGTGGTAGGATCACTAAATATTTATCTGCACAACATTTCAGGCAAATTTGAAATATTTAAATATTTAGTTGAACATGGAGCAAATATAAATGCTACAACTGTCCACAAGTATACACCTCTATCTTTGGCTGTTGCAAGTGGTAATTTTCAATGGATTCATTTAGCAGAATGGTTGTTTCATAAGAACTTCGTACATTTTACAGGTAGCACGGAGATTGCCAAATATCTTGTCGAACATGGAGCTGATGTGAATTCTAGAGACGAAGATAATTATACACCACTTTTCAGCGCATCTCTAAGTGGTAATTGTCTATATGTTCGAAAACTGAAAATATCAAGCGTGATAGCTAAAGTAGTTAAGCCAACTGTTTCTCTGTTTAATATTTCAGAAAACTTGGAATTGGTTGAGTTGTTAATCACTCATGGTGCAAACGTAAATGCCGAAGATGATAGGAAATGGACGCCACTCCATAACGTTGTTCAACAAGGTAATTATTGCTTAATGTGAAACGTAGTTGATTACATTAAGCATAGCAATAGTAGGACACTGCCAGTCTTTAGTCGTACGGCTTAATGTTAAACGTGGGACCGTACTACTAAAAAAAACAAACTACTCGACATAATAAAACTGCATTTTAAATTTGGCCC